TAAGAGCTTGCAGTCGGTTGCTAGGGATGGTTTTACGGTAAAGAGCAGTGCTGAAACTGTAACAGGCCAGTCCAGGGCTTGACAGACAAGACAGTCAGAAAGTGGCAAAGAATTGATGATAGTGTGGTTGGGAACAAGTAAAAGAAACTACAAAGGAAACCAATAAACATAGGACATTGTAAGTAAAACGGACAAACTGACGCCTAAGCCACACATGACATGCTTGAGAATAATCATAATGGAAGGGACAAAACAACATGACGTTTTATTTCTAGATGTGACTATCAGTTATATAATTAGATGAATTTCTTTTTGCATGTTACGATATACTGTGCAAAGGTATGTATGTGCAGATACCACAGTGAAAGATCCCAGAGTACATGAACAGTAGGTATTAACAATATGCACGTGCTGTATGATTACATATATGTATCACACTAAAAACAAGTTAAATAAAAGAACCAACTATTAGATGCGGTGTCTGTGGCTAAAGTGCTGCGAGTCCGACTCGTAATCCAACGTACCGCGATCGAAACCCACTGCAGGATGCGTGGATTTTTATCGTGGTATTGGACGTCGCAGGTCGACCCAGCCTCAAATGGGTACCAGGATGGCTGTCCTGGGGAAGTAAAGACGGCCGGCGTAATGCTGACCACATTACCCACTGAGTGCCGATTGGTCTGTAAAAATATGGGACGCTCTGCCCATTTACCCGATGCGCCTTAGGCATTTGAAGGGATTAAACCCCCCCCCCCCCCCAAACTATTAGGTGCACAGCATGCCTTGATGTTGTGTATAACAGCACAAGATATATTCAGGTTAGTGGACTGATCAACATTTAGAGCATACATGGCTAGATGGGCCTGACTGTTGAACCTGCGGTTATATATACTGCCACACCTGTTTCAACAATAATAGAATGCCAGATCAAGATGCCACAAGATGTGGCCGGCAAGTTTTCAGACCAGCAGCTGTGAAAGGAGGCAGGACATCTATCAAACCACGCCATTAGTGTTTGTTACTATGCTGCATGTAACCGGTGACCAGGCTTCCATGTTGTTGACTCAGGGCTCTGAGAGTACAAAGTGAAGATCTGTTCAGGGGTCTGAGAGTACAAAGTGAAGATCTGTCTTCTTGTGATGGAGAAGCAGGGGTAGGCAATATCCTTTTATTTCAATGTTAGACAAGATCCAACAGATTAATAAGGTTGAATGTCGTTGAGTGCTTCATAGGTCAGGCTACTGTGTACAGGTGACATGCATGCTGTCGACAAGGAAGGACATAAAGGAATAGGCCAGAACATACAATAGCATGTTCACATGATTGCCGACTGTTTGAACATTGAGAACATGGTTTCTCGGATTTAACATCGGACTTGGGAAACATGAGATGTTCAAACAGTGCAAGACATTCAGTGTGGAGCTTGGGATCATTTCAACAGAACAAGTCTTTCTGGAGCCTCATTTCACATGCCACACATACACAAAGTTCAACTTCACCAACAGCACAGAAACACAGTTTATCTTCACATGCAGGACAAGACACAAAATTCATCTTCACATACAGCACAGATACAACAAAGTTCATCTTCACATACAGCACAGATACAACAAAGTTCAACATCACATACAGCACAGACACAACAAAGTATATCTTTACAAAACAGACACAAAGTTGATCTTTACAAAACAGGACAAACATAAAGTTGATCTTTACAAAACAGGACAGACACAAAGTTGATCTTTACAAAACAGGACAGACATAAAGTTGATTTTTACAAAACAGGACAGACACAAAGTCCAACTTCACATACAGGACAGACACAAAGTTGTTCTTTACAAAACAGGACAGACACAAAGTTGATCTTTTCAAACCAGGACAGACACAAAGTTCAACTTCACATACAGGACAGACACAAAGTTGATCTTTACAAAACAGGACAGACACAAAGTTGATCTTTACAAAATAGGACAGACACAAAATTCAACTTCACATACAGGACAGACAAAAAGTTGATCTTTACAAAACAGGACAGACACAAAGTTCAACTTCACAAACAGGAAAGACACAAAGTTGATCTTTACAAAACAGGACAGACACAAAGTTCAACTTCACATACAGGACAGACACAAAGTTCAACTTCACATACAGGTCAGACACAAACATTAAAGGTCACACTCAGAAAGATCAGATCTTATTACCTGAAAGTAAAGAAAGGAGAGAAGGATGGAAATGAGAGAGATTTCATTACCTGAAAGTAAGAAGGAGAGGAGGGTGGAAATGAGAGGAGATCTCATTACCTGAAAGTAAAAAGGAGAGGGTGGAGATGAGAGAAGATCTCATTACATGAAAGTAAGAAGGAGAGGGGGTAGAGAGGAGATCTCATTAACTGAAAGTAAAAAGGAGAGGGTGGAGATGAGAGGAGATCTCATTACATGAAAGTAAGAAGGAGAGGAGGGTGGAGATGAGAGTTAGGATCTCATTACCTGAAAGTAAGGAGAGGGGGTAGAGAGGAAATCTCATTACCTGAAAGTAAAAAGGAGAGGAGGGTGGAGATGAGAGGAGATCTCATTACCTGAAAGTAAATCATTTCCCAGAAACCCTGAAGGTCAGTGAGTGTAGTTGCCTTCTCCCCAAGACCAAACTGGCAATTGTCAATCAATCCAGAGAACTGCTGGAATCGCTGATCCATTAACAACTGAGCTTTCCCAATAGTTGATCTAATCTGTCCCAATACTGTAGAGAAGGTACACAATATACAACTGTATCATTATGTAGAGAATTACATGGAACACAGGTGTTTAAGGTATGCAATATATGGATGTATCTACATCTACACAGGTGCATGCTACATGTGTGTCTATTGTACACAACATACAATCATATCTAATTATTCTCATTAAATTGATCTTTCCCTTATGGATTATTTTCTTTGTTAATTGACGTGTAATAACGTCAACTGTGTTTAAATAATCATGCATATGAATCTGTAAATGGGACAGAACAGAAATATCATCGGCAAAGTCCAGATCATCAAGCTGTTTTGTAGAGGTCCACTGAATTAAATTTCTGGTGGTAGCTGTTGCTGTGTTCATGACCCAGTTTAGTGCTACTAAAACAGTAGAGGCGACAAAGACATCCCTGTTGTACACCTGTCCTTATTTCAAATGTGTCCTAGTCTTCCCTCATGAAGAACTCAAAAACTTATGTCTTTAAATGTCGCCTTTATGAAGTTAACAATTTTATGTGGGATTCTATAGTGCCTCATTAATTTCCAGAGAGATATCCCACATGCTGTTAAAGGCTTGTTCATAGTCTTTGAATCCACTGTGAAGTTGTGAATTCCGTTCAAGGCTCTGTTCTATTCTAATGCCTAGTATGTCATCTTGTCAGTATAGGATCTGTTTAGTGGCCAAAAATCTGCCTCTACAACCCTTAGCTGTCTATCAATGGTATCTTTCAGTATTTCCCAAACAACCCTACTTCAGGAACTGACAGCAACATAATTCTTCCCTAGTTTTCACAATCCTGCTGGGATCCCCCCAGCTACAGGTTAGTATTTTATACATACCATATAAGCTGACCTTTCCACCCCTCCCTCTACAACTGGGTGCTAAAGGTTAGCATTTGACACCTGCCACATAAACAAACCTTTCCACCACCTCAGTGGGTGTTAAAACTTGGTATAATGCTGAAATTTATAACTGGTCTGGTCATAAAAATCTGTAAAAGGACCAAGTCTCTAGTCATTAAATCTATAACTGGACCCATTCTTTAGTCATTAAATCTATAACTGGACCCATTCTTTAGTCATTAAATCTGTAACTGGACCCATTCTTTAGTCATTAAATCTATAACTGGACCCATTCTTTAGTCATTAAATCTATAACTGGACCCATTCTATAGTCATTAAATCTGTAACTGGACCCAGTCTCTAGTCATTAAATCTAAAACAGAACCCAGTCTCTAGTCATGAAATCTAAAACAGGACCCAGTCTCTAGTCATTAAATCTAAAACAGAACCCAGTCTCTAGTCATGAAATCTGTAACAGGACCCAGTCTCTAGTCATTAAATCCATAACTGGACCCAGTCTCTAGTCATTAAATATAAAACAGGACCCAGTTTCTAGTCATGAAATTTGTTACTGGTGTCAGTCTCTAGAAATCTGCTGAGAAAAACATACCAAATTCTAATGTATGGGTGCTGGCATACAAAATCTAATGTGAGGGTCGCCAACTGGCGTAGGCGCTCATGCAACTCCACAGATCACGATTCCTGGTTGACTGGAACACGCCATCATTTCAGCCCATCTAGCATCATCTCTCTTCGTCTGCTTCTACCCCTTTTTCCACTGATCTTTCCAGCTGTCACGTTATTTTCAAATGCCTCTCTTCTCATTATGTGGCTAAAGAACAGTGCTTGTCTCCTTATTGTTGATATAGAGATCTACTTTCATTAGCTTCTTTCAAACAATCGTTAGTTACTCTGGCTGCAATGTGTGGGTACTGGAATAAATAAATATAATGTGTGGGTACTGACATTATAAAATCTAATGTGTGGGTACTGACATAAAAAAAAAAACTAATGTGTGGGTACTGACATTATAAAATCTAATGTGTGGGTGCTGACGTAAACAAATCTAATGTGTGGGTACTGACATTATAAAATCTAATGTGTGGGTGCTGACGTAAACAAATCTAATGTGTGGGTACTGACATAAAAAAGTCTAAGGTGTGGGTACTGACATAAATAAGTTTAAGGTGTCAGTACTGACATAAAAAAATCTAACATGTGGGTACTGACATAAAAAAGTCTAACGTGTGGGTACTGACATAAATAAGTCAAAGGTGTGGGTACTGACATAAATAAGTCAAAGGTGTGGGTCCTGACATAAAAAAATCTAACATGTGGGTACTGACATAAAAAAAATCTAACATGTGGGTACTGACATAAAAAAGTATTGACACAGAAGATCTACTTGGGAAAATGTTTAACACACCATCCTCAGCTAAGTCAAGTGAACCAGTGCTGACTTGAGTCCAGGCCTCACACAACTGCTGTAACTTGGCTCTCTCTGTCAGCAGCAGCTGGCGGAAGTTCTGCACTCCACTTGCCACTGTTTGGGAGAAAGAGGCGTTAGAGCATAATTATTGATAAGATTACATATCTGGTCCCAGTGACCGGTCACTGTTTGGGAGAGATGAGTTAGGGCATCATTACTGATAGATTTCATATCTGGTCACAGTGACTGGTCACTGTTTGGGAGAGATGCGTTAGGGCATCGTTATTGATAGATTTCATAACTAGTCACAGAGACTGGTCACTGTTTGAGAGAGATGTGTTTGGGCATTATTACTGATAGATTTCATATCTGGTCAGTGACTGGTCACTGTTTGGGAGAGATGTGTTAGGGCATCGTTATTGATAGATTTCATAACTAGTTACAGAGACCGGTCACTGTTTGGGAGAGATGTTTTAGGGCATCATTACTGATAGATTTTATATCTGGTCACAGTGACTGGTCACTGTTTGGGAGAGATGTATTAGGGCATCATTACTGATAGATTTCATATCTGGTCACAGTGACTGGTCACTGTTTGGGAGAGATGTATTAGGGCATCATTACTGATAGATTTCATATCTGGTCACAGTGACCGGTCACTGTTTGGGAGAGATGTGTTAGGGCTTCATTACTGATAGATTTCATAACTGGTCCCAGTGACTGGTCACTGTTTGGGAGAGATGTGTTAGGGCATCGTTATTGATAGATTTCATAATTAGTCACAGAGACTGGTCACTGTCTGGGAGAGATGTGTTAGGGCATCATTACTGATAGATTATATCTGGTCACAGTGACTGGTCACTGTTTGGGAGAGATGTGTTAGGGCATCGTTACTGATAGATTTCATATCTGGTCACAGAGACTGGTCACTGTTTGGGAGAGATGTGTTAGGGCATCGTTATTGATAGATTTCATATCTGGTCAAAGTGACCGGTCACTGTTTGGGAGAGATGTGTTAGGGCATCGTTATTGATAGATTTCATATCTGGTCACAGTGACCGGTCACAAACCATAGAGGCAACATGACACAATGTTCCTGCCAGTGTTACTGAATACTTGAATTAGTGAATACACAAATACTCATGTTAGGGAATTCTTTAATACTGATCTCATGTTAATGAATACCTGAATACTAATTTCAAATTAGTGATTACCTGAATACTGATCTCATATTAGTAAATACATGAATACTGATCCCATGTTAGTGAATACTTGAATACTGATCGCATGTTAGTAAATACAAGAATACTGATCTCATGTCAGTGAATTCCTAAATACTGATCTCATGTCAGTGAATTCCTTAATACTGATTTCATGTTAATGAATTGGTGAATACTGATCTCATGTTAGGGAATTCCTGAATACTGATATCATGTTAGGGAATTCCTGAATACTGATCTCATGTTAGGGAATTCCTAAATACTGATCTCATGTTAGTGAATACCTGAATACTGATCTCATGTTAGTGAATACCTGAATACTGATCTCATGTTAGTGAATACTGATCTCATGTTAGTGAATACATGAATACTGATCTCATGTTAGTGAATACATGAATGACGATCTCATGTTAATAAATTCCTGAATACTGATCTCATGTTAGTGAATACATGAATACTGATCTCATGTTAGTAAATATGTGAATACTGATCTCATGTTAGTAAATACGTGAATACTGATCTCATGTTAGTAAATACGTGAATACTGATCTCATGTTAGTGAATTCAAGAATACATGTTTTTAAATGGACAAGTTATTATCCCAATACTACTATCTTCAGACATGATGTATAATGGACAACAAGATAAACTTTATTTTCATCAACAAATCACCATTGATGTAGACTGTCATACACATTCCTAACTAATATACTGATGCTGACACATGACAACAGCAAATATACTGGTGCTGACACGTGACAACAGTAAATATACTGATGTTGACACATAACAACATAATATACTGATGCTGACATGTGACAACAGCAAAAATACTGGTGCTGACACATGACAACAGCAAAAATACTGATGCTGACACATGACAACATAATATACTAGTGCTGACACATGACAACATAATATACTATTGCTGACACATAACAACAGCAAATATAATGGTGCTGACACATGACAACATAACATTCTAGTGCTGATACATGACATCATAATATACTGATGCTGACACAGGACAACATAATATACTAGTGCTGACACATGACAACACACTAGTGCTGACACATGATAACTAATATACTGATGCTGACACATGACTACTAATATACTGATGCTGACACATGACTACTAATATACTGATGCTGACACATGACTACTAATATACTGATGCTGACACATAACTAATATACTGATGCTGACACATGACAACTAATATACTGATGCTGACACATGACTACTAATATACTGATGCTGAAACATGACTATTAATATACTGATGCTGACACATGACAACTAATATACTGATGCTGACACATGACAACTAATATACTGGCACTGAAACATAACAACGAATATACTTACACTGACACATGACTACTAATATACTGATGCTGACACATGACTACTAATATACTGATGCTGACACATGACTACTAATATACTGATGCTGACACATGACTACTAATATACTGATGCTGACACATGACTACTAATATACTGATGCTGACACATAACTAATATACTGATGCTGACACATGACAACTAATATACTGATGCTGACACATGACTACTAATATACTGATGCTGAAACATGACTACTAATATACTGATGCTGACACATGACTACTAATATACTGATGCTGACACATGACTACTAATATACTGATGCTGACACATGACTACTAATATACTGATGCTGACACATAACTAATATACTGATGCTGACACATGACTACTAATATACTGATGCTGAAACATGACAACTAATATACTGATGCTGACACATGAAAACTAATATACTGATGCTTGACACATGACAACACAACATACTAGTGCTGACACACGAAAACAACTAATATACTAGTACTGACACATGACTACTAATATACTGGTGCTGACACATGACTAATATACTGGTGCTAACACATGACAACTAATATACTGATGCTGACACATGACTACTAATATACTGATGCTGACACATGACTACTAATATACTGGTGCTGACACGTGACTACTAATATACTGGTGCTGACACATGACTAAGATACTGGTGCTGACACATGACTACTAATATACTGATGCTGACACATGACTACTAATATACTGATGCTGACACATAACTAATATACTGATGCTGACACATAACTAATATACTGATGCCGACACATGACTACTAATATACTGATGCTGAAACATGACTACTAATATACTGATGCTGACACATGACTACTAATATACTGATGCTGACACATGACTACTAATATACTGATGCTGACACATGACTAATAATATACTGATGCTGACACATGACAACTAATATACTGACGCTGACACATAACAACTAATATACTGATGCTGACACATGACAACTAATATACTGGTGCTGACACATGACAACTAATATACTGATGCTGACACATGACTACTAATATACTGATGCTGACACATGACAACACAACATACTAGTGCTGACACACGAAAACAACTAATTTACTAGTGCTGACACATGACTACTAATATACTGATGCTAACACATGACAACTAATATACTGATGCTGACACATGACTACTAATATACTGATGCTGAAACATGACAACTAATATACTGATGCTGACACATGACTACTAATATACTGATGCTGACACATGACTACTAATATACTGATGCTGACACATGACTACTAATATACTGATGCTGACACATAACTAATATACTGATGCTGACACATGACAACTAATATACTGATGCTGACACATGACTACTAATATACTGATGCTGAAACATGACAACTAATATACTGATGCTGACACATGACAACTAATATACTGATGCTGACACATGACTACTAATATACTGATGCTGACACATGACAACTAATATACTGATGCTGACACATGACAACTAATATACTGGTGCTGACACATGACAACTAATATACTGATGCTGACACATGACAACTAATATACTGATGCTGGCACATGACAACTAATATACTGATGCTGGCACATGACAACTAATATACTGGCACTGACACATGACAACAGCAAATATACTAGTGCTGACATGACTTAGGAACTTGTGACAATAAATGATCATTTATACCACCACTGTCTAGATCTGCAAAAGTATCATATGTAAATCAAACACATATCAACTGACAATTACATGATCACAAGAACCAACCATCTAGATGCAGACTGTCCATGGTTTGTGATCCATCCCTCGCAGCAGCAGCCAGCAGATGAGCTGATGCTGATGGACAAGGTGTCACTTCGGTGTCTTCAGATTTGTGAATGGAAGAATCAAGGCTGTGCCCATCAAGCTTGCTGACATCGAGGTTGTGGACATCAAGCTTGCTGACATCGAGGTTGTGGACATCAAGGTTGCTGACATCGAGGTTGTGCCCATCAAGGTTGCTGACATCGAGGTTGTGCCCATCAAGGTTGCTGACATCGAGGTTGTGGACACTTGTCGACAACTGGTCTATACCTGTTACTGTTGGAGCGACATGCATGCAATTAGACTCTGTAATCAGACTGTTTCTGTGTCCTTAATACAGCTGACACAATGTATAATAGCAGTTTATAACAGGACAAACCTCAGTGAGATATTATGTCCAGGTTGTGTTAAAACATTGTCTGTCTGTGACAGGACAAACCTAGAGGTCAATCAACACACACCTACACATGATGATCCCCTTTAGGTCTGATCTATGGATGTGTTCCCAACAACTTGTGTGAGATGATACCCTGATCTATGGATGTGCTCTCAACAACTGGTGTGAGATTGTAATGGTGTGGATTTTCCAGGAAAATCCCAGAGAGTTCCCGATGGGGAGGACAAGGTCAGAGGACCAGTGATACAAGAGGAAAATGAGATAAGTGGGTCTCGAGTATCCAGTGGTGAGCAAATAAGGGATACAAGAAAAGCGTGAGCCTGGAATGGAGGACGTGAACCGAGAGACGGTAGTGCGACAGTTGAAGTTCGGACCTGGATATGTGCAGTTGAATGTGAGAGAACACATGAGAATGGAGAACTTGTGACCACGTATAATTCTTTGAGAGAAGACATGAATGTTTCCTGATTGCCAGTTTCAACATGTACTAATACCAGGTACAATGCTTTAGTATGATATGGATGTGTGATTCGAGAGATACGAAAGGAGCAAAGCAGTGTGCGAGAGAGTTGGCCAGGTCATCAGAAATCAGCCATGCATAGCGTCACGAGGACGAAAGAATGCGCCATCAGTGAGATGTGTGATTCGGCGAATAAAGGTCTATAACTGAACATTCGTTTCTGGTGTGTCCTAGCAACTAAGTGTATGTCAATACAGCAATGTGGCGTGTAGAAAAAAACAACAACCTAGCAGAGCACATTGCAGAGATGATACCCTAATCTATGGGTGTGCTCTCAACAACTGGTGTGAGATGATACCTTGATCTATGAATGTGTTCTCAACAACTGTTGTGAGATGATTCCCTGATCTATGGGTGTGTTCTCAACAACTGGTATGAGATGATTCCCTGATCTAGGGATGTGTTCTCAACAACTGGTATGAGATGACTTCCAGATTTACAGAGAAATTATTAATCTCAAGCTGACAGCTGCCATCTCTATGTAAATCCAGGCTTGCAGAGACACACACGCACAAAAGCAGCAGCAATAATGAGTGACTAACCTGAAGATAGTCGTACATGGCGGCTCCTTCTCCTGGTTAATTCAATCATGGGACTGTTCTTGAGTATCTCAATCCTGATAAAGATAAACAATCATATCAACAAACAGGAAGAGTGTCCGGTCAATGGAGCCTAACACTCTAACGGGCAAAGCTTGCCTGGTGTGGATGGTCAACAGACAAATCACAGAATTATCGGATGGACAACACATTACAGAACTATCAGATGATCAATAAATCACACAACTTTCGGATGATCAACACATCACAGAACTATGGGACAGCCAATACACCACAGAACTATCGGATGATCAATACATCACAGAACTATCGGATGATCAATACATCACAGAACTATGGGACAGCCAATACACCACAGAACTATCGGATGATCGATACATCACAGAACTATTGGATGATCAATACATCACAGAACTATGGGAAAGCCAATACATTACATAACTATGGGACAGCCAATACACCACAGAACTATCGGATGATCAATACATCACAGAACTATGGGAAAGCCAATACATTACAGAACTATCGGATGATCAATACATCACAGAACTATGGGAAAGCCAATACACCACAGAACTATGGGACAGCCAATACACCACAGAACTACTGGATGGTCAATACACCACAGAACTATCAAACGATCAATACATCACAGAATTATGGGACGACCAATAGTATGGGACAGTCAATATTTCACAGAACTACGAGACAGTCAATGTGTCACAGAACTTTGCGACAATCATTATCTTACAGAACTATCGGATGGTCAATACACCACAGAACTATCTTGATCAACACATCACAGAGATATCAGATGTTCAATACATCACAGTTGGTGTAGCTGAAACATGCACACACAAAAAAGATGAACAAATAAATCACCCAAGCCATCCGAGAAACACAAAGTAAATACAGTAAACCACGACACTGGGCTACAACCTGGTATCAATGAGACAAGGAAAGAAGAATACATCAACGAACCACGGGATGATCAACCAAATACAACCCCACAAGGACATGTCGTGACACTGATTTATCAGATAACAGTAAACATCTGCAGGTCAGTTAGGAGGTCAAGAAATTGGGAAACTGGATGCATTGTTGCTTGCAATAATTTCTTTTTCAGTTCAATTATAAATCAAATATTGTAAAAACTATTCATTATACAGACGGCCAAGGATGTGCAGTTTGTAAGTCTAACATTAAACATCTAAATATAACCACATTTAACTATAGGTTAAGAACACATTCTGACCAAAACAAAACTCAGTACTTTCTATGACATCTTGTTGCTGATCAAGCCATTTTTTTTAAAATGAGGTCCGTTGGTTATTAAATGGAAATTTGCTGGCTTGATTGTTCGAGCTGAAGTATGAGGCCAAAGTCTTTCCAGGAATCAAAAACATGATCCGTATCATGCATTTACCTCTTTAATGGGGAACCACCATGGTGTAGCGGCTAGAAGCTTGTGTGCGGACTGAAAAGTTGTGTGTTTAAGTCTCAATGAAGCCATACTTTTTCCACACACAAAAATGACCTTGGAAGATCCAGCCTTAAACAGCCTGCTGACCACATCACCCAAGGAGTGCCCATTGGTCTATCAAATATAGGTCTAGCCCTGTATGCCTGAAGGAATGAAAATGGGTCCTTTCGCTTGTTTGCTGATTTTTAAAAGCTTTCAACAGAACATAGCAACAACATTCTATTCTATGTTGTTATCACAGCTTTCATGGGAAATATTAAATTATGGAAACGGTGAATGAATCCAAAAACTTCTTATCCTTTCTTTGTTTTGATGAACTGTTAGAAAATAAGGACGAGTTAAAATAATAAACTTGCCGTAACAATTCAGTCACACATAAATTAAAGAAGTTCAATCTGGATTTTCCTGATCTATCGTTGATGATTGGTCAAGTTAACCAGAAAGCCTGTCACCATTGACACTGATATACTGCCAGTCTATTCAAGAAGAAGTAATTCAGCATAGTGTCATTCAAGGGCTAAAGAAGATTTCCCATTTGTAGACCCTGTATAGATTTTGCGCGGTGCAGTTCTTGCAATGTACCATGGTGTGGCATTTTTCTCCGCATACCCACTATGTGCATCTGGTCTATAACAGTCCAGACAAGAAAACCGTGTTGTCAGCTTAATATGGAGGGTGATCTCCATTGTCCCTTGTCCAACAGGAGATCAAAAAAGGCAGACATCATCAAGACAAAACAGTGTCAACTATCACATTGATATCTGGATGCAAATTGTCATTATTTAACAACAACAAAATTTTAACTTGGAACTTTGAATGATGATGTCTATCCTCAAGATACTGATTGTTATTGTTAGGATTTGACTTTTTGTCCTCTTTTTTAATCACACTTGTAATGCTTGGGGGAGAGAAGAATGTGTGTGTGCTGCCATCTGAACTATAATATGTTAATAATTCTAAATCTGGTGCTACTTGTAATGTGCTCCAACTTTCTCTGATGGGCCAGTACTGAGCAAGTGTAGCTTTTTCCCAGGGAGACTATCTTTTTGTTTGCCTGGTATTTTGTGTTTTCCTGTGAACTTTCTGATATTAACGTTGTCATCTTCCAAGCATGTTTGATACTGCATATAATCTTGTGAGAGGACAGAAAGCTTCCATCTGCCACAGACTGATTACACAGGAAATAGGAGAACAATGATAACAACATCAGAAATAACAGAATACTGACATTTCTTCTGGAGACTTCAAGGCTGTACTCGTAACTGTCTCACGGCGCCGGCTCCCAACCCTAGATCTGGTGGTGGACACAGGTTGACCAGGAGTTTTGAAGGAAGACAAGCCACTCATGGACAGACCTCTGCTCCTGCTAGACCTGGGGGTCAGAGATGGAGTTTCAGAGGTTCTACGGCCATCCTCTAATGTGGTCATCTCATGAGATCTTGGTGTGAAAGGCTGAGTGCTCTGATTATCTTCTTTTGCAGCAGCAGTGACAGAACTGATATCCTTGTCCCCCGAAGCTTCCGCCAGGGCTGGTACAGACTTTGTGCTGACTGAAGCGTCTGCATCTGTACTGTCATCCAATGCCACCTGCAGGAGAACAATACAGACAAACTAAACTCAACCCAAACATGAAATCTGAGTGCAAACACCAGACACAGGAGCCACTGTATCAAAACATGCAAGCCAGTGTGTGTGTGCATGCGTGGGTGCGCGTGCACGCGAGAGAGAGAGATAGGGGGAGAGAGAGAGGCGCAGAGAGAGAGAGAGAGAGAGAGAGAGAGAGAGAGAGAGAGAGAGAGAGAGAGAGAGAGAGAGAGAGAGAGAGAGAGAGAGAGAGAGAGAGAGAGAGAGAGAGAGAGAGAGAGAGAGAGAGAGAGAGAGAGAGAGAGAGAGAGAAATACTTTGTAAGACATGACCAGGAAGGAAATAACTACAAGTAAATTTGAGTCAGTGTGAACAACAACACACTTTTAAAAGCCATACTAGGGGGAAACATTTAAGGCAAGACAGAATAAGGTCGGTTGGTAACGATTACAAGTGGGAGGAGGACGACAAGAGATGGATGAACAGCAGTCTGAGAGAGTGTACAACCAGGAGAAGAGACAGTGTGTTGGAGATCCATTCACTCTGGAGAACTGATTGACTGACTGGTCTGTTTTAGTAGTTAGTATTATCTTATAACAGGGAGTCACTGTGGAGAACTGATTGACTGACTGGTCTGTTTTAGTAATTAGTATTATCTTATAACAGGGAGTCACTGTGGAGAACTGATTGACTGACTGGTCTGTTTTAGTAGTTAGTATTATCTTAAAACAGGGAGTCACTGTGGAGAACTGATTGACTGACTGGTCTGTTTTAGTAGTTAGTATTATCTTAAAACAGGGAGTCACTGTGGAGAACTGATTGACTGACTGGTCTGTTTTAGTAGTTAGTATTATCTTATAACAGGGAGTCACTGTGGAGAACTGATTGACTGACTGGTCTGTTTTGGGAGTCACTGTGGAGAACTGATTGACTGACTGGTCTGTCTTGGGAGTCACTGTGGAGAACTGATTGACTGACTGGTCTGTTTTGGAAGTCACTGTGGAGAACTGATTGACTGACTGGTCTGTTTTGGGAGTCACTGTGGAGAACTGATTGACTGACTGGTCTGTTTTGGGAGTCACTGTGGAGAACTGATTGACTGACTGGTCTGTTTTGGGAGTCACTGTGGAGAACTGATTGACTGACTGGTCTGTTTTGGGAGTCACTGTGGAGAACTGATTGACTGACTGGTCTGTTTTGGGAGTCACTGTGGAGAACTGATTGACTGACTGGTCAGTTTTGGGAGTCACTGTGGAGAACTGATTGACTGACTGGTCAGTTTTGGGAGTCACTGTGGAGAACTGATTGACTGACTGGTCTGTTTTGGGAGTCACTGTGGCGTAGCAGCTAGACACTCATTTGCAGATCGGAAGTTCGTGGGGTCGCTCCCTGGCGGGGCCTGACTTTTTTCAAAAATGACCTTGACTCCCAGGTTGACCCAGCCTTGAGTCGATACCTGGTGTAGTCCCGGTGAGTAAAGGTGGCCGGCGTGATGCTGCCCACATCACCCATCTTGTGCCGATTGGTCTATAAAAATATAGGTCTAGCCCTATATGCCTAAAGGCGTAGAAAAGGGACCTTTACTATTGTTTACTATTACCTTATAACAAAAACACTCATCAATAATAATCCAGGGCCCTAAGTGAGCAGAAGCTGCTATGTAAACTGACTCTTAGGACATCTCTTCCAAGTACACGGTGCTGGGTCTGGCTGTTTGGGACAGATTCTATTACTTGTAGCTTGCTGTCTGTATCAACATCCTAAAACATCTGTCCAACCCAGTCATACCCCGCCCTCCAAAGGAGCAGCCATATCAGTGTCTGCAGCAGTCATATTAGTGTCTGCAGACTCAATGCCCCCCCCCCCTCCAGCAGCAGCCATATCAGTGTCTGCAGACTCACTTTAACACACCCCCCCCCCCCCCCCCCCCCCGCAGCCATATCAGTGTCTCCATACTCACTGTACCCAGCAGCAACTACCTAGAAATCTTTCTTTGCTTGATGGAGAATCTATATATACAAGATTCAGAAGATGTCTAAGAGCTGCTATGTCAAGTGACTAGACCACATGCGGATGCAGAGATCTAGGGTTCAAATCACCACTGAGGTTATGCTTTGGGGGGGGGGGGGGGCGCTTTTCACCTAGGCGACAAACTGGCATAAAAAAGGCTTCTCACTAAACCTTTTTTTTTTATATAGTATCCAGGGCATAATTTACAAGAGCAATGACAGATCTAGCCTAGATATATATACAGTATCTAGTAGAGGTTGAGATCTTCAAGAACAATGACAGATCCAGCATATATAGATATATACAGTATCTAGTAGAGGGTGAGATCTACAAGAACAATGACAGATCCAGCATATATAGATATATACAGTATCTAGTAGAGGGTGAGATCTTCAAGAACAATGACAGATCTAGCATATATAGATATATACAGTATCTAGTAGAGGGTGAGATCTACAAGAACAATGACAGATCTAGCATATATAGATATATACAGTATCTGGTAGAGGTTGAGATCTTCAAGAACAATGACAGATCTAGCATATATAGATATATACAGTATCTAGTAGAGGTTGAGATCTTCAAGAACAATGACAGATCTAGCATATATAGATATATACAGTATCTAGTAGAGGGTGAGATCTACAAGAACAATGACAGATCTAGCATATATACAGTATCTAGTAGAGGGTGAGATCTTCAAGAACAATGACAGATCTAGCATATATAGATATATACAGTATCTAGTAGAGGTTGAGATCTTCAAGAACAATGACAGATCTAGCATATATAGATATATACAGTATCTAGTAGAGGGTGAGATCTACAAGAACAATGACAGATCTAGCATATATACAGTATCTAGTAGAGGGTGAGATCTTCAAGAACAACGTCGGATCTATTACACACACAAGCATATCTAGTAGAAGGTTGTATCATCAATAATGCATTATACATTGTTCTTGATTAAATAATCCCAAAACTGGTTCCCATACCTCAATAAAACTAGCCTCTCCTTCCCGCTTCCTGACAGCCAGTTCTTGAAGAGCACGCACGGAAGCCTCAGATTGACCAGGTTTCCTCACCTCATAGACTGCGCTGGGATCATCAGCAGTAACTTTAGGATACTTTTTGAGTGGACTGGTGGCAGTGGCCGATGTGTCAGTCTTGCTAACAATGTTCTCCCCTGCAAATGTTGACATTTAAAAATGTCACTGAGTGTCAAATTTTAAAAGAAATGTCAAAAACAGACAACAGACAGAAAAGGTGAGTAAAAATAGCTGAGACAGGCCAGAGATAACCAACATTAGCTAAAGCATGAATCTGGTGAGAAAGTAAGATCTTACATGCAGAGGTGAGAACACTCACATATAACCCAAGCTAAAGCATAAATCTGGTCAAAGTGTGAGAATTGAGAAAAATCACATGTAACCTCCTGCTAAAGCTTAAATCTGGTGAGTGTGAGATTTGAGAAAACACATATAATCTCATGCTAAAGCATAAATCTGGTCAGAGTGTAAGAGTTGAGAAAAACCAAACATAAAATATAAATCCGGCGAGAGTGTATGAGTTGAGAAAAACCAAACATAAAATATAAATCCGGCGAGAGTGTAAGAGTTGAGAAAAACCACATAAATCTGGTGAGTGTGAAAGAGTTTAGAAAAACCTGCATATAACACATAAATCTGGTGAGAGTGTAAGAGCTGAAAAAACCTACATATAACACACAAATCTGGTGAGATTGTAAGAGTTAAGAAAACCCACATATATAACACACAAATCTGATGAGGGTGTAAGAGTTGAGAACAGCATATAACCCCAAGCTAAAGCATAAATCTGGTGAGAGTGCATGTAAGAGTTGGGAAAACCCATATATAAAACCAAGCTAAAGCTTAAATCTGGCGAGAGTGTAAGAGCTGAGAAAACACATAACCCAAGCTGAAGCATAAATCTGGTGAGAATGTAAGAGTTAAAAAAAAACAACAAATAAACCTATGCTAAAGCTTAAATATGGAGACAGTGTAAAAGTTGAGAAAACCCACATATAACCCAAAACTAAAGCTTAAATCTAGTGAGAATGTAAGAGTTAAGAAAACCCACATACAACCCCATGCTAAAGAATAAATCTTGTGATAATGTAAGAGCTTTGAAAACCTATATAACCCCATGCTAAAGAATGAATCTTGTGATAATGTAAGAGCTGAGAAAACACATAACCCAAGCTGAAGCATAAATCTGGTGAGAATGTAAGAGTTAAAAAAAAAAAACAAATAAACCTATGCTAAAGCTTAAATATGGAGACAGTGTAAAAGTTGAGAAAACCCACATATAACCCAAAACTAAAGCTTAAATCTAGTGAGAATGTAAGAGTTAAGAAAACCCACATACAACCCCATGCTAAAGAATAAATCTTGTGATAATGTAAGAGCTTTGAAAACCTATATAACCCCATGCTAAAGAATGAATCTTGTGATAATGTAAGAGCTGAGAAAACACACATAAAACCCCATGCTAAAGAATAAATCTGGTGAGAATGTAAAACCTAGATACAACCCCATGCTAAAGAAAAAGAGCTGAGAAAACCTAGATACAACCCAACCCTTATGCTAAAGAAGGCCTGACAAATGCTAATTTAGGTGCCTTCTGTTATAGCGGTACAAACTGAGGACAATGTGTATAATATGAGAAGTCAGTAAGTCACAAATGGTTATGGGATGGCAGGAAAATGTAGCTGGTGGTTTTTAAAGGAGACATTAGGTGACAGCAACCGTAATGTGTCCGCTCACATGATTCAGCATACAACATAATGCATGAACAATTGAAATTTAAGAAAGTTTGCTCAAGGTAGATACTCAGACAGCTGACAGAAGAACACAAAACGAACCAATTAGGCCTGTCTTTACAGTATCTCTGTCAATAAGCAGATAAAGAAGTAGACGTGCTGTATTAAGGAGGAATTATTGGCGCGTCACTACCAGCCTGAATCCAAGCCTGCTTCAATGCAATGAAAACATCCTTCTTCACTTTGTGTTCACAAATTCAAGGTTAGGCCATAAGCAGGGAAGGTTATGCTGGTAATAGTCAGGGATTGTCAGGAATGCTTTTAATCAATTTCCAACAAAATTAAATTTAACAAAAATAAGAGGTGAATGCTGAATCACACTGTAAAGTTCTATTGATGCTCTATGGTACAATTCCAATAAAACATCCCACTGACTAGAAGAGTACTGCTCCAAGAAAATGCCAGAAAACTGGCCCTCTAGGGTGGGAACTTGTGGAACATCCACCTTACAGCCCCGACTTATACCCTAGCCATTTCCACTTTTTTGGTGAACTGAAAACATAGCTTGGCGGGAGATATTTAGCAAATGACACAGAAGTAGAATGTGAAATGAAATTGTGGTTTAGAAAACACAGCACACAGTTCTATGCAGCAGGTCTGAGAGGACTGATAAAATGATGGGACTAGTGCAGCAAATGTTTGTGAAATTATGTTGAAAAATAAAGGGACAGTGTATGTGCAAAAAATAAAAATGTTTTCAAGTTATCGTCTTTAGTTTGTGACTTACGTATTGACTTCCCCTCATACAATGATGAATGTTTGTGACAGACAGCTAAAGTCACTATATGATTATTCATTCGGGCTTGACCAAATGACTGCGTAGCTCTTGATGAAGTGTACTGTTTACTGTAGCATACCCAAAACAAAAATATTATGTCCATTCTAGCATGACTCGAGTTCCATTTTTACAGAGACTCCTGGTGATCTTTTCTCAAGCTGCTGGTTCATTGCTCGCGGCAGGTGGTCAGGCGGCCTGCAGAAAGAAACCGGGCCATATGGGATCAAACCTGGTGCAGTGAAGTCGATGCTCAAGACTATAACTCGTTTGTGTCAGTTCCACGCCCGACATCTTCACTTCTAATAACACAATGGACACCTCTTAACAAACATGGCGTGACTTCAGCACACCGTGGTACTTACCCATCAAGTGACAGGCCTCTTCGTTGCTGACAGAGACAAATGTGGATTTGTCACTGTTTTCTGTCAGAGGTGCTGCAGCACTTGGCCGGCGTTTGACTGCTGGAGTTTTGCGGTATTTAGTGGTCACAAGTTCATCTTCAGGATGTGAATGAGCTGGACTGCAGAAAGCCAACGAAGCAATGCGCACACTTCTGCGCTTGGCTACAGCCGAGTTGAACTGTTTCTTGTGTGACTGTGGTAGAGCAGTGCCATCATCAGGCAGCTGTGTACTAGCATCACCTCTGACCTCAAGAGCCAGGCCTGCATCAACTTCTCCCTGTGGCCTGCTCCCTGTCACAGACCTCTTGGATTGCTGGGCAGTTGAAATCACTTGTACACTAATTGTGGAAGCCAAATGCTGGCTACCTCCTGGTGATTTCCTTCTACTGACTGACACATCTGCATATGTCTCTCTGTTCCTTGATGGGGTTAGGCACTGAGACTGGCTCTGGGGGCAAGCAACATTCTCCTTGTTGGACATCTCCAGAACACTGACCACTTGCGTTTCTGTAGACCCCATGGTGATGTCTACATCTTCTATGTGGCCTTTGCTTCCCTTCTTGTGATTAATCTCAGCTGACAACCTCCACCTCTGTCCATGTACAGCATCTTGGGACAGGAGAGGTCCATGTAGCTGTTTGTCACTGGCCTCTTCAGCAACACCCATGGCTGAGACGTCTGCAGACTTGTCAGTCACTCTACCTGCAGTTTTCAGCAAATTCTCAACGGTCTGTTTCCTAGTGCTTGCTGGTGCTTTATTCCCGCGAACACTTCGCCGGGCAGCCGGAGTAGAGTGCTTTGGAGTGGATACTGCTGAATCTGAAAGGTGCAATTCTGAAACAGAAGCATTTGTATTTGAATTTTTTTAGGTCTCCCTTATGTTTGCTCTCTCATTATTGCTCTCTCTCTCTCCTCATGTTATGGCTATCTGATGATTTCTAGAGACCCACTATTTTTGTTTTCTCTTTATCACTTCAGGGCTGTCTCTGATTATTTCTAGACTCTCTGATTACATTTGTTCTATCTCTCTCCCTCATCAGTTTAAAAGTGATTTTTTTTTCTAGACTGATTACTTTTGTTATATCTGTCTCCCTCATCAGTTTAGGAGTGATTTTTTTCTAGACTGATTACTTCTGTTCTATCTGTCTCCCTCATCAGTTTAGAAGTGATTTTTTTTTCTAGACTGATTACTTTTGTTCTATGCATGAACAACTGTAGAATCACATAAAGACTGGATGTGTACCGATACATTAACATAGAGGTTATAGAACACTTGAGTCAAATACAGAATGGCTGTGTTGAGGTTTCAGAACAAAGAATTAGATAGACTGGCTGCGCTCATGATTCATCAATACAGTAATTATAGATATCTTTAGAGTCGGATAAAGACTGGATGTGCACAAGACTCACCAGTACAGAGATGATGGATATCTATAGAGTAAGATAAAGAAAGACTGGCTGTGCTCAGGTTTCACAGTACAGAGAATAGATACCTTTAGAATCAGATGAAGACTGGCTGTGCTCAGGTTCCACAGTACAGAGATTAATAGATACCTTTAGAATCAGATAAAGACTGGCTGTGCTCAGGTTTCACAGTACAGAGAATAGATACCTTTAGAATCAGATAAAGACTGGCTGTGCTCAGGTTCCACAGTACAGAGATTAATAGATACCTTTAGAATCAGATGAAGACTGGCTGTGCTCAGGTTTCACAGTACAGAGATTAATAGATACCTTTAGAATCAGATGAAGACTGGCTGTGCTCAGGTTTCACAGTACAGAGATTAATAGATACCTTTAGAATAAGATGAAGACTGGCTGTGCTCAGGTTTCACAGAAAAGAGATTAATAGATACCTTTAGAATCAGATGAAGACTGGCTGTGCTCAGGTTTCACAGTACAGAGATTAATAGATACCTTTAGAATCAGATGAAGACTGGCTGTGCTCAGGTTTCACAGTACAGAGAATAGATACCTTTAGAATCAGATGAAGACTAGCTGTGCTCAGGTTTCACAGTACAGAGAATAATAGATATCTTTAGAATAAGATGAAGACTGGCTGTGCTCAGGTTTCACAGTACAGAGAATAATAGATATCTTTAGAATAAGATGAAGACTGGCTGTGCTCAGGTTTCACAGAAAAGAGATTAATAGATACCTTTAGAATCAGATAAAGACTGGCTGTGCTCAGGTTTCACAGTACAGAGATTAATAGATACCTTTAGAATCAGATGAAGACTAGCTGTGCTCAGGTTTCACAGTACAGAGAATAATAGATACCTTTAGAATCAGATGAAGACTGGCTGTGTTCAGGTTTCACAGTAAAGAGATTAATAGATACCTTTAGAATCAGATGAAGACTGGCTGTGCTCAGCTTCACTAACACAATAAACCTCCATGTGATCAACAGTCTCAACAGCTTCAGATGGTGTTATGTTTTCCTGTGTTTTTTTCTTCTGACTATCTCGCTGCTTCTTGTCATCTGAAATTATTCAACAACCAGATCAATCAGGCATGAATATTTAGTAAGTGAATCAATACTACAATCACTTAACATCTTTAGCACCCAGATTAAAGGCTAGGCTTACAAGAGATAAAGTCACAAATATCTCACGCTTGCTAAGACATTCTAGCGTTTACTGAGACATTCTGGCAGTCAGTGTGTTAAAGGCTGGCGAGAGACAGTCACAAATATCTCATGTTTACTGAGACATTCTGGCAGTCAGTGTGTTTAAGGTTGGCGGGAGACAGTCACAATTATCTCATGTTTACTGAGACATTCTGGCAGTCAGTGTGTTAAAGGCTGGCGGGAGACAGTCACAAATATCTCATGTTTACTGAGACATTCTAGCAGTCAGTCTGTTAGAGGTGGGGCTAGAGAGAGATAAAGTCACAAATATCACATGTTTACTGAGACATTCTAGCAGTCGGTGTGTTAGAGGCGGGGCTAGAGAGAGATAAAGTCACAAATATCACATGTTTACTGAGACATTCTAGCAGTCGGTGTGTTAGAGGCGGGGCTAGAGAGAGATAAAGTCACAAATATCACATGTTTACTGAGACATTCTAGCAGTCGGTGTGTTAAAGGCTGGCGGGAGACAGTCACAAATATCTCGTGTGTACTGAGACATTCTGGCAGTCAGTGTGTTAAAGGCTGGCGGGAGACAGTCACAAATATCTCATGTTTACTGAGACATTCTAGCAGTCAGTCTGTTAGAGGTGGGGCTAGAGAGATAAAGTCACAAATATCACATGTTTACTGAGACATTCTAGCAGTCGGTGTGTTAGAGGCGGGGCTAGAGAGAGATGAAGTCACAAATATCACATGTTTACTGAGACATTCTAGCAGTCGGTGTGTCAGAGGCTAGGCCAGAGAGAGATAAAGTCACAAATATCACATGTTTACTGAGATATTCTAGCAGTCGGTGTGTTAGAGGCGGGGCTAGAGAGATAAAGTCACAAATATTTACAATATCTCATCTTTACTCACCAACTGCTTGATTGTGTGCGCTTGCTCTGGTCACTCGTGAGTTTGCTCTCAAAAATGCTTTTGGTTGGTCTGTATTTGACTGCAGAAAAAACGGTCTATATAGCTAAGTATATACATAATACAGAATATGTGTGTCTGTGGCTTGTCCTTATCTGACTGTAGATAGCCAAGTATATACATAATACAGAATATGTGTGCCTGTGTGTGGCTTGTCCTTATCTGACCGTAGATAGCTAAGTATATACATAATACAGAATATGTGTGCCTGTGTGTGGCTTGTCCTTATCTGACTGTAGATAGCTAAGTATATACATAATACAGAATATGTGTGCCTGTGTGTGTGTGGCTTGTCCTTATCTGACCGTAGATAGCTAAGTATATACATAATACAGAATATGTGTGCCTGTGTGTGGCTTGTCCTTATCTGACCGTAGATAGCTAAGTATATACATAATACAGAATATGTGTGTGTGTGTGGCTTGTTCTAATCTGACCGTAGATAGCTAAGTATATACATAATACAGAATATGTGTGTGTGTGTGTGTGGCTTGTCCTTATCTGACTGTAGATAGCTAAGTATATAAATAATACAGAATCTGTGCGTGTGTGGCTTGTCCTTATCTGGCTGTAGATAGCTAAGTATATAAATAATACAGAATATGTGCGTGTGTGGCTTGTCCTTATCTGACTGTAGATAGCTAAATATATACATAATACAGAATATGTGTGCCTGTGCGTGTGTGGCTTGTCCTTATCTGACCGTAGATAGCTAAGTATATACATAATACAGAATATGTGTGTGTGTGGCTTGTCCTTATCTGACCGTAGATAGCCAAGTATATACATAATACAGAATATGTGTGCCTGTGTGTGTGTGGCTTGTTCTAATCTGGCCGTTGAAAGCTAAGTATATAAATAATACAGAATATGTGTGCATTATGAGTTATGAGGATTATCTTCACAACACCCCGGACACATCCATAGGCGCTCAGATATCCCTCTCAACATATTCATCTGCGTCACCTGTTTAATAGTGCCAGTCCTATGTTGGCTAACAAGACTTCTGGTGTGCTTCTCATGCTTGGCTGTGACGATCTTAACTCCCTATTCTCGTATTCTTAGCAGTGATGAGGACACGTTGCTTCCAAAATCCCAAGAACGACCTATCTAAGGGCATTGACAATGCCTGTGTGATCCATGGGCGGGCCATCTTCAATTATTGCAGCACTTGCCAGTCTATCAGCTCTTTCATAATGGAACTGCCTGTGAAGATCACCACATCTAACTTATCACTGATAAGCGTGTACACCTCGGCATTGACAGCAGCTGGATTCTGCTCCTAACAACGCCTATTGAGCGCCGTGACACAGGAGACTGGGCGCTTCGGACGCTGATATCCATTCCTCATCCTCTGCCCTACCCAGCCATGATTTTCTCCTTTTGCTTGAAGAGCATGTGGTGCAAAGGGTGCTTCAGATCTGAGCTTATCCTAAGTTATGCACGAACCCTCCAGATCTTGATCCTGTAGTTCATGGTAAGGAAATCAAGAAGTTACCTCATTGCTACACAAGAGGTGTCTCCAGTGCACCCAAGAATAATGCGCATTGCTTCATTTTGCACCTTCTCAAGTCTTTCAATCTGAGTATGGCAGACAGTGAGGATGGCTAGAGCATATTCGATGGGAGAAAGTGCACGTCCCTGGAACGGAAGCAGTCTCTGTTCAGTGTCATCAGAGGCCAGGAACCTAACTGATGACAGGCCTTTGTGTGCTTTTTGTCCTTTCGAAGGTTTGACATGAGCATTAGAATCTGCACACCGATCAAGATCACTCTGCACTGAATTGGCAATCTCTTGACGACCTCTTCCATATCGATAAACCAAGAGGTCATCAGCAAATGACAAGGTCCTGCCACTCCTATGCAACTGCTGTTCAGTTATCAGCACTGTGTACAAGCTGAATAGAACTGGAGACAGCGGATAACCTTGGGGCAATCCTGGACTGATGGTTGTCAGTTCTGAGGACTACCAACCATACCTGAGTATCACTCGTCTACCCAGCAGGTGATGAAGGGAGATACTTGCAGTTGGAGAAGTATGTGCACCAAGTATTCAAATGGTACTCTGTTGTACGCATCCTCTAAGTTTAGTGCAGCTGCACATGTTCCTCTCACTTGAAAACCTTCATAGACTTCACAGCATTGAGCCATGTCGCTTTGTTTCCTCTGTATCCCCATTGCATGGATGGTAACCTGACATGCTTTTCCAAGTCATCAGCATTGCTACAATTTTCTCCAGAAGCTTGCCTGTAGTGTTCTTCTGCATGGTAATGACTATGTAGCCACTGACCTTGGAATGGTCTTCATTTGGTTTTTGGTAACAGTATCTGAGTAGCCACTCCTCTCTGATTTGACCACTTCTGATGCTGACGTTGAACTCTCCTGCCAGTTCTGACATGTCGTCCTCTGACATCTGCAGCATATCAGCATACTGGATGCCGTCAGGGCCTGGTGAGGTGCTGGGCGATTTCTTGAGTGTTGTCCGTATGGTCTCAGTTGTAATACTGTAGTCGTCACTTAGCTCTCCTTTTTTTTTTTTTTACACAACTCTTAAAGTGTTGACTTAACTCTAGAGAAACTCAAGCAGCCAACAAACAGAGAAACTTAAGGAGCCAACAAACTCACAGAAACTCAAGTAGCCAACAGAGAAACTTAAGCAGCCAAGAAACCCAGAGACCGTCATCACCTGCCAGGAAAACCGTCCTGTCATTTCTGGAGAAAACTGCTAGGACAGAGAACATGTATGAGATAGAACACCTGAGTGACTAGAGAAAACTGCTGGGACAGAGAACATTTGTGAGATGGAACACCTGAGTAACCAGAGAAAACTGCTGGGACAGAGAACATGTATGAGATAGAACACCTGAGTAACTAGAGAAAACTGCTAGGACAGGGAACATGTATGAGATAGAACACCTGAGTAACCAGAGAAAACTGCTAGAACAGGGAACATGTATGAGATAGAACACCTGAGCACCCAGAGAAAACTGCTAGGACAAGGAACAAGTATGAGACGGAACACCCGAGTAACCAGAGAACATATAGGAAAAGTTTGTTCCATTAGCAGGACATACACATGCATGTCACTTCAATGTCAGTAGGACAAATAATGTCATGTTTCAACAATGAGCAGGACATACATATACGTGTCATGTTTCAACAATGAGCAGGACATACATATACGTGTCATGTTTCAACAATGAGCAGGACATACATATAGTGTCATGTTTCAACAATGAGCAGGACATACATATAGTGTCATGTTTCAACAATGAGCAGGACATACATATAGTGTCATGTTTCAACAATGAGCAGGACATACATATAGTGTCATGTTTCAACAATGAGCAGGACATACATATAGTATCATGTTTCAACAATGAGCAGGACATACATATACGTGTCATGTTTCAACAATGAGCAGGACATACATATACGTGTCATGTTTCAACAATGAGCAGGACATACATATACGTGTCATGTTTCAACAATGAGCAGGACATACATATAGTGTCATGTTTCAACAATGAGCAGGACATACATATAGTGTCATGTTTCAACAATGAGCAGGACATACATATAGTGTCATGTTTCAACAATGAGCAGGACATACATATAGTGTCATGTTTCAACAATGAGCAGGACATACATATAGTATCATGTTTCAACAATGAGCAGGACATACATATACGTGTCATGTTTCAACAATGAGCAGGACATACATATACGTGTCATGTTTCAACAATGAGCAGGACATACATATACGTGTCATGTTTCAACAATGAGCAGGACATACATATATGTGTCATGTTTCAACAATGATCAAGACACACAAATACATGTCATGTTCCAACAACAAGCAGGACATACATATCCATGTCACATTTCAAAACTGAGCCGGACATACACATACTGTCATGTTTCAACAATGACACATACATGTCATGTTTCAACAATGAGCAGCTAGCAGGATATGTGGTGTGTCTTGTCCTATGTGACAGTCTCACCTTAGCTTTAGCTGCTGCAGACACTGTCAGCTTGGAGGCCAGGTCAGCTGTCTTTCCCCTCTGGTGCAGCTTGGAGGCCAGGTCAGCTGTCTTTCCCCTCTGGTGTTGCTTGGAGGCAGCCTGACTCCTGGTGCCTTGCTGTGAAACAGGTGCAGGTTGAGCCTGGGTGGAACCAGTTACTCTATCCTGCTGCACAGCTGCAGCCTTTCTGGGTCTAGTGGATGCTGCCTTTGCTGGCTGGTGTTTGGGAGACTTTCTGTCAGCTGTGACAGCTGAACTGCCTGCAGATTTGACAGCTTTAGGTTGAGCCTTCACCTGCTGCCTGCTGGAGCTGACAACTGTGGCTGAGACCTTTTGTTCATGGGTCCTCTCTCCCTGTCTGCCAGACTTCACCTGCACATGTAGAAAGGACATTAATCAACACTGGCCAACTTATGGGCTGGGGGAGAGAAAGTGTATGAGGGTGGGGGTAATGGGGAAAGAACTAAAGGATTCTTGCAGCCAGCTGAGTTTTATGGGTACATTGGGGGGGGGGGGGGGGGGGGGGGGGGAGAGGAGAGAGAGAGAGAGACAAATTGAGAGAAAACATTTTGATTACCATTTGTACCTTCTCAAAGTAGTGTTAGGATCACAATGACTGCTTACATTTCAAAATAAACAAAGACATTTTTAGACTGTACCAGCAATCTGATCAAATGTAAACAGAGCCTTTTAAGCTATACTGACTGTTCAGCTGTTCGATCAGAAAAACAGAGAGGAAGTCTCAAAGCAGTGTAAAGGCTCATTGTGGTTTACATAACCGACATTACTTGATGTCCTCAACAAGTTTCCAACTCCCTTCATGTTTGTGGATGACGGCTGTTCAGGCGGCCATTTAAAACACTACAACAGCCTCCTATCCACTTCAAAAGTCAGTGGAGAAAGTAGAGAACTGGACAAAATATTGAGGCAATATAGTTTGAATTGTCACCTTTTCATGTATCCAGACGACAGTTTTACATTGTGTCCGAGAGACATAGGAATCAAACCCAGTTAAAACCAAGGACAAAACCTAGGCATCCACCTTCTCCAGAGCACAAAACATAGGCATTCATCTTCTCCAGAGCACAAAACCTAGGCATTCATCTTCTCCAGAGCACAAAACCTAGGCATTCATCTTCTCCAGAGCACAAAACCTAGGCATTCATCTTCTCCAGAGCACAAAAACTAGGCATTCATCTTCTCCAGAGCACAAAACCTAGGCATTCATCTTCTCTAGAGCACAAAAAATAGGCATTCATCTTCTCCAGAGCACAAAACCTAGGCATTCATCTTCTTCAGAGCACAAAACCTTAGTATCCTTCTTCTCCAGAGCACAAAACCTAAGAATGTTTGCAGAAGTCAGGTGTTGGCCATGCAGCATGATCTCCCATTCAGCTTGCTATGTTTAATCTGAAGGAAAATTTATTTGGAATAAATCAGGCGATAGAAGCTACAAGATCAGAAAAGTAGTCTTATTTCTGTCTGCCTGCCGGAGCTTCCTTCACAGATCAGCTGCCGTATAACATTGTTCTCATATTTCACTTTCTCATTTGAGGCTAGTCTCCTCCCTAGTGCATGTCTGCGTCTGAATTTTGGAGAGCTGTTTTTGTCAGTGTCATCGGGCATTCTGCAAACATGTCCAAGCCATCTCCATCGTATACTTTAATAACATTTGCCAGTTATGCACATTTTGTTTTCCTCCTCAGTTCTTCATTTGTAATCTTGTTTGGCCAAAATATTCGTAGAATTCTCCTTAAACATTTATTTTGAAAAGTCTCAAGTTTATGTGTAATTCCCGCTGTCATTTTCCAAGATTCACTGTTGTATTCCTAAAATGTTGCTCTTGTATATTCTGTGTTTGTCTTCAAACTAAACCCCTTTGACTTCCATATATTGTTAAACATGGCAAATGCTTGGTTTGCTTTGTTTATTCTTGATGTTACATCCTTTTCAGAATCTCCATCTGGAGTAACTTTACTTCCGAAGTATCTAAATTCTTCAACTTCCTCTACTGCCTCATCATTTAAGATAATTGGATTTTTTGTTTTGTAATTATTTCTCATTACTTTAGTTTTACTGGTGTTTGTTTTGAGTCCTATCTTTGGGGCTGTTGTTGAAAGTCTTTCAATCTTTTCCTGAGTGTCCACATGACGGCTTGATTTCAGGCTGATTACACAACAGTGAAGCAAAATCTTCCATAGTGATTCACTATGCAGGCTATCAAAGGCTTTCTTCAAAATCCACAAAGGTCAAATAAACTGCACTATTCCCTTCGTTACTTTGTTCAATTATTTGATGAAACGTGAAGATATGATCAATACATGATTTTTCCCTTCCTGAATTTTGCTTGCTCTTGCAAGTCCCCTGTTGGCATGGTTAAACCTGCCAGGGGAACATGTCCCCTGTCGGCAGAGCTCCGAGAGTCATTAGGGTACTCAAGCCATCCCGCCAGGACAAGGCACCAGCACCATGGGATGGCTGGTTTTAATACTGGAATACAATACAGAGTGTGTGCGTGCGTGGCGCATGAGACACCAGGCTTACCCAGAAGACAAACTCAAAAGAAGAAAATCTAATCAAATGACATACAAAGACTGGCTATAATTAAAAAAAATTTTAAAAACTGGACGAAACATACTGGGTAGCCAGTACAAAACATAACTTGAGTGGCCTGCTATGGAACACGCCTTTTTTCTCTTGAGCTTAAAAAGCAAAAAAGGACTTCTGAAACCTATTCAAGGTTCAAATATGTTTACAAATAAGTCAAGGAGCAATGTTAGCACCCTCGTAGAGAAACATTGAACAAACTTTTGTCTCTGAGCCACCTGGATTTCGTAGATCTCATCATGCGAAACATCCTTGCATTGCCGGCTATTGCAGATAGGCTTAAGGTGTTGCAGGCTAAATCATACCTAAGAGTAGCTACAGATAGGGAACACAATCTGTATGAAGCCTTGGCTGCAGGCAAGGGTAAGTGGCTGAAAAGGAGAAATCATGGATGGCTCAAGCAGAAGACAAAATAAGACAAGTATGCATGCTGGAGAAAATTGGGCGAGGAGATGAGTGGGTCAGAGTACCAGTGGGAAAGTCTGAACCATGTAGGGTTATGATAACATTGGGCCGGGTGTGCAGAATGGCCAGCGGGTGCTACAGAGGTTGAAGTCCAATAGTTGATTCACGACAAATCTATGCAGATGGTTCAGTGTTGAGGGGAAAGAGAAGTGCCTGGGGGTTCATAGAGCCAATAGAAAATCATGAGTGCAAGACAGCCTAGCATACACATGTCGTAATTGTGACAGACTCTGAAAGCATCCTGAAAAAGGTGAAGACAGGGATGCTTCGAGCAGAGTGGCTAGCTTTACTGGAAAGGTCATGGGTGGTGAGCATACTTTAAAATTTTTCTCCAGGCCATGCTGGCGTGGTGGGTAATGAACAGGCAGACAGATTGGCTGGATCCGCACCACTGGGCGGTGAATAGATACATGACAAGGCAGATGTGGTCAAGGCCCTTTTGGGAACAAGCAACGGAATCAGTAGAGAAAAAAAATTATTATGTACTGGAGAGAATGAGGCACCTGGGTGTAACCAAAGGGTCTGGCCGGCTTACTACACCCAGAGGAAAGGCAAGACAGACTTTTAACCAGACTGTGACTGGTACCATCAGTATTGGAACTCTGCGCTGGCTGCTGACGATGAGGATGGAGCATGCATGTAAATGCCCCGAGTGCTGTGATGTCAATTCTTGACTCAACTCAAATCATCCAGTACAGTTCTAGAAATCACGAAAATAATCTACCCCCACACACACAAAACAGAACCACAGCAAACAGATTTGTCACTCTATACACTCAGATATCCCTTGAATATTTGGACTGTGAAACACCAACCTCCTGTGCTGCTGACCTCCTGTATAAATTTGATTCCTCAATGTGCTTCAAGGGAGAAACTCTGAAAACTGGCTTCTGGCTACCTTTCTTCTGTTGCTGAGTTTTGCGCTGCTTCTCTTCTCGCCATTGCTTCAGTCGCTCCAGTCTTGTGGAAACTTTCTCATGGGTCACTGCACAAGTTACAAACATATACATGTAGTTAACAGCTGACTTGTGGGACAGAAACAGATGATGTGCCCAGTGTTTGCTACACTACACATACTGACTTGTGGGCCCAGTGTTTGCTACACTGCACATACTGACTTGTGGGCCCAGCATAGATGATGTGTCCAGTGTTTGCTACACTGCACATACTGACTTGTGGGCCCAGTGTTTGCTACACTGCACATACTGACTTGTGGGCCCAGCATAGATGATGTGTCCAGTGTTTGCTACACTGCACATACTGACTTGTTTGCCCAGGGCAGATAGTGGGCCCAGTGTTTGCTACACTACACACACTGACTTGTGGGCCTAGGACAGATAATGTGCCCAGTGTTTGCTACACTACACTACACACACTGACTTGTGGGCCTAGGACAGATGATGTGCCCAGTGTTTGCTACACTACACATACTGACTTGTGGGCCCAGTGTTTGCTACACTGCACATACTGACTTGTGGGCCCAGTGTTTGCTACACTGCACATACTGACTTGTTTGCCCAGGGCAGATAGTGGGCCCAGTGTTTGCTACACTACACATACTACACTACACACACTGACTTGTGGGCCTAGGACAGATAATGTGCCCAGTGTTTGCTACACTACACTACACACACTGACTTGTGGGCCTAGGACAGATGATGTGCCCAGTGTTTGCTACATTACACTGCGCACACTGACTTGTGGGCCTAGGACAGATAGTGTGTCCAGTGTTTGCTACACTACACTACACACACTGACTTGTGGGCCTAGGGCAGATAATGTGTCCAGTGTTTGCTACACTACACTACACTACACACACTGACTTGTGGGCCAAGGGCAGATAATGTGTCCAGTGTTTGCTACACTACACATAGTACACTACACACACTGACTTGTGGGCCAAGGGCAGATGATGTGTCCAGTGTTTGCTACACTACACATACTACACTACACACACTGACTTGTGGGCCTAGGACAGATAATGTGTCCAGTGTTTGCTACACTACACTACACACACTGACTTGTGGGCCTAGGACAGATGATGTGCCCAGTGTTTGCTACATTACACTGCGCACACTGACTTGTGGGTCTAGGACAGATAGTGTGTCCAGTGTTTGCTACACTACACACACTGACTTGTGGGCCTAGGACAGATGATGTGCCCAGTGTTTGCTACACTAAACTGCACACACTGACTTGTGGGTCTAGGACAGATAGTGTGTCCAGTGTTTGCTACACTACACACACTGACTTGTGGGCCTAGGACAGATGATGTGCCCAGTGTTTGCTACACTAAACTGCACACACTGACTTGTGGGCCCAGCAGATAATGTGTCCAGTGTTTGCTACACTACACACACTGACTTGTGGGCCTAGGACAGATGATGTGCCCAGTGTTTGCTACACTACACTACACACACTGACTTGTGGGCCTAGGACAGATGATGTGCCCAGTGTTTGCTACACTACACTACACACACTGACTTGTGGGTCTAGGACAGATAGTGTGTCCAGTGTTTGCTACACTACACACACTGACTTGTGGGCCTAGGACAGATGATGTGCCCAGTGTTTGCTACACTAAACTGCACACACTGACTTGTGGGCCTAGGACAGATAATGTGTCCAGTGTTTGCTACACTACACACACTGACTTGTGGGCCTAGGACAGATAATGTGTCCAGTGTTTGCTACACTACACACACTGACTTGTGGGCCTAGGACAGATGATGTGCCCAGTGTTTGCTACACTACACTACACACACTGACTTGTGGGCCTAGGACAGATGATGTGCCCAGTGTTTGCTACACTACACTGCACACACTGACTTGTGGGCCTAGGACAGATGATGTGCCCAGTGTTTGCTACACTACACACACTGACTTGTGGGCCTAGGACAGATGATGTGTCCAGTGTTTGCTACACTACACTACACACACTGACTTGTGGGCCCAGCAGATGATGTGTCCAGTGTTTGCTACACTGCACATACTGACTTGTAGGCCTAGGGCAGATGATGTGTCCAGTGTTTGCTACACTACACATAGTACACTACACACACTGACTTGTGGGCCAAGGGCAGATGATGTGTCCAGTGTTTGCTACACTACACATACTACACTACACACACTGACTTGTGGGCCTAGGACAGATAATGTGTCCAGTGTTTGCTACACTACACTACACACACTGACTTGTGGGCCTAGGACAGATGATGTGCCCAGTGTTTGCTACACTACACTACACACACTGACTTGTGGGCCTAGGACAGATGATGTGCCCAGTGTTTGCTACACTACACTGCACACACTGACTTGTGGGCCTAGGACAGATAATGTGCCCAGTGTTTGCTACACTACACACACTGACTTGTGGGCCTAGGACAGATAATGTGCCCAGTGTTTGCTACACTACACTACACACACTGACTTGTGGGCCTAGGACAGATGATGTGACCAGTGTTTGCTACACTACACATACTGACTTGTAGGCCTAGGGCAGATGATGTGTCCAGTGTTTGCTACACTGCACATACTGACTTGTGGGCCTAGGACAGATGATGTGCCCAGTGTTTGCTACACTAAACTGCACACACTGACTTGTGGGCCTAGGACAGATAATGTGTCCAGTGTTTGCTACACTGCACACACTGACTTGTGGGCCTAGGACAGATGATGTGCCCAGTGTTTGCTACACTACACTACACACACTGACTTGTGGGCCTAGGACAGATAATGTGCCCAGTGTTTGCTACACTACACTGCACACACTGACTTGTGGGCCCAGCAGATAATGTGTCAAGTGTTTGCTACACTACACTGCACATACTGACTTGTGGGCCTAGGACAGATAATGTGCCCAGTGTTTGCTACACTACACTGCACACACTGACTTGTGGGCCTAAGACAGATGATGTGATCAGTGTTTGCTACACTAAACTGCACACACTGACTTGTGGGCCTAGGACAGATAATGTGTCCAGTGTTTGTTACACTGCACACACTGACTTGTGGGCCTAGGACAGATGATGTGCCCAGTGTTTGCTACACTACACTACACACACTGACTTGTGGGCCTAGGACAGATGATGTGCCCAGTGTTTGCTACACTACACTGCACACACTGACTTGTGGGCCTAGGACAGATAATGTGCCCAGTGTTTGCTACACTACACACACTGACTTGTGGGCCTAGGACAGATAATGTGCCCAGTGTTTGCTACACTACACTACACACACTGACTTGTGGGCCTAGGACAGATAATGTGTCCAGTGTTTGTTACACTGCACACACTGACTTGTGGGCCTAGGACAGATGATGTGCCCAGTGTTTGCTACACTACACTGCACAAACTGACTTGTGGGCCTAGGACAGATAATGTGTCCAGTGTTTGCTACACTACACTGCACACACTGACTTGTGGGCCTAGGACAGATGATGTGCCCAGTGTTTGCTACACTACACATACTGACTTGTGGGCCCAGTGTTTGCTACACTGCACATACTGACTTGTGGGCCCAGTGTTTGCTACACTGCACATACTGACTTGTTTGCCCAGGGCAGATAGTGGGCCCAGTGTTTGCTACACTACACATACTACACTACACACACTGACTTGTGGGCCTAGGACAGATAATGTGCCCAGTGTTTGCTACACTACACACACTACACTACACACACTGACTTGTGGGTCTAGGACAGATAGTGTGTCCAGTGTTTGCTACACTACACACACTGACTTGTGGGCCTAGGACAGATGATGTGCCCAGTGTTTGCTACACTACACTGCGCACACTGACTTGTGGGCCTAGGACAGATAGTGTGTCCAGTGTTTGCTACACTACACTACACACACTGACTTGTGGGCCTAGGGCAGATAATGTGTCCAGTGTTTGCTACACTACACTACACACACTGACTTGTGGGCCTAGGGCAGATGATGTGTCCAGTGTTTGCTACACTACACTACACATACTGACTTGTGGGCCCAGCAGATAATGTGTCCAGTGTTTGCTACACTACACACACTGACTTGTGGGCCCAGCAGATGATGTGCCCAGTGTTTGCTACACTACACACACTGACTTGTGGGCCTAGGACAGATGATGTGTCCAGTGTTTGCTACACTACACATACTACACTACACACACTGACTTGTGGGCCAAGGGCAGATGATGTGTCCAGTGTTTGCTACACTACACATACTACACTACACACACTGACTTGTGGGCCTAGGACAGATAATGTGTCCAGTGTTTGCTACACTACACACACTGACTTGTGGGTCTAGGACAGATAGTGTGTCCAGTGTTTGCTACACTACACACACTGACTTGTGGGCCTAGGACAGATGATGTGCCCAGTGTTTGCTACACTACACTACACACACTGACTTGTGGGCCTAGGACAGATGATGTGCCCAGTGTTTGCTACACTAAACTGCACACACTGACTTGTGGGCCTAGGACAGATAATGTGTCCAGTGTTTGCTACACTACACACACTGACTTGTGGGCCTAGGACAGATGATGTGCCCAGTGTTTGCTACACTACACTACACACACTGACTTGTGGGCCTAGGACAGATGATGTGCCCAGTGTTTGCTACACTACACTACACACACTGACTTGTGGGCCTATGACAGATAGTGTGTCCAGTGTTTGCTACACTACACACACTGACTTGTGGGCCTAGGACAGATAGTGTGTCCAGTGTTTGCTACACTACACACACTGACTTGTGGGCCTAGGACAGATGATGTGTCCAGTGTTTGCTACACTACACACACTACACTACACACACTGACTTGTGGGTCTAGGACAGATAGTGTGTCCAGTGTTTGCTACACTACACACACTGACTTGTGGGCCTAGGACAGATGATGTGCCCAGTGTTTGCTACACTACACTACACACACTGACTTGTGGGCCTAGGACAGATGATGTGCCCAGTGTTTGCTACACTAAACTGCACACACTGACTT